ATTTAGTCAGAAAATGTTTCCAAAAAAAAAACCCCAAAAAGAAAAGAAGTCGAAAATCTTGAATCCTAGATGGCAGAAAATGAACTTTCCCGACTTCTGAAGTGTCTTTTAATGACTTTTAAATTTTTCAAAATTAAGATATTATCCCCTTTAGAAAATGGTCAGGTAAATTTTCTCATTCTCATTAAAGTAAATATGCCACTTATGTGTGTACCGGATTACATAGAGGAAAAAAAAATAGTTGCATACATATTCCTTTTTCCATGAATCGTTGAACCCCAAAAAGAAAGTGGGGAGGTGGCGGTGTCCTAGATGGCGGGAAATAAGGTTTCCTGACTTCTGAGGTGCTTCTTAATGACTTATAAGAACTTAAAAATTCAAGGTTTTTCCCCTCTTGGAAATGGTCAGGTAATCTTTCTCATTCTTATTACAGTAAATATGCCTATGTGTGTATACATAAAAAGAAAATGAGTAGTTGCATACGTACTCTTTTTTTCATGAATGTATGAACCCCAAATAGACCGTGGGGGACAGGAAAATTTTGAATCCTAGATGGCGGGATGAGCTTTCCCAATTTCTGAGGTGTCTTTTAATGACTTTTAAGTCATTAAACGTTTAGGTTTTCCCTCTCTTGAAAACCATTGAACCTTCTAATTTTCCCATTGTAACAAAACAAATTTCAGCTCATGGGTCCTGGAAAATTAGGTCTAGAATATAGTTTTTCCCAAATGGGGGGGGGGGGCAGGACTCCCCTGACTCCCTGCAGATCTGCCAATGATTAAAACAGTCCAGTAATGGTATTCAAATGCTTGATTTTTAATCAAGTGTGAGGAAAAATACATACAGTATTTCTTTTTGGCAAATTTCATGGTGCAAGAGTGATAAAAAAAATGTTTTCTAACTTTTTCTTTTTTAATGACAATAGGCCAAAAATAAAATTTCATTTGCTCAAAATAATGATTATCAGCAGGTTTGCAAAACAAGGTGTAAATAAAGTCTCGTCCTATCTCTATGAATACAGAGTAAACGTCCTATCTCTATGAATACAGAGTAAACTTTGATATTTAATTTATCTTAACGTGGCAGTTGTAGTGTCAGTTGTGACTGTAGTGTTAAAGATAACCTATCTTCATCTAATATTTGCTTTATTAATTTATAATAAAATCTGACAAATAATCACCTTGTGGTTCTACAACAAAAAGGACCTTTCATTATTGAGCATTTTTCCAGTTCAACCCCCGGGAACTTACTTAAGTTCCAACCAAACAAAGGTGGGGGAGGGGGGTGGGGGAGGTACCAGCAGCCACTTTAAAACATGAGACACTTGTGCTACCTATTTTACTGAAAGTTATAATGGACTTAAGAACTACCATTTACACAAAATCGCACTGTACTCTAAAAAGATGACATAAAAAAAGCCACTCATGCCAGAGAAAGTCCAATATTTCTACTGGTGAACAGTTTTCCGTCTGTTTGTGGTCTCTGCTGTGGTTATATACCACAGGTAGGCTTAGAATAGGGCTTAGCACTAAGTCGGACTAGGGACTTTTGCTACCAATTTCTCCTCAGTTATTTCCCACACTTGTGCTACCAATTCCTCGCAAATATACCCCATCAATGCTGCAACTCCTCCATATTTCCCACACTTGTGCTACCAAGTCCTCGTATAGAAACATTTAAGAGTGAGCCCCACAGGGTTCAACTACATTACTTTTACAAACGCTTTTGACTGACATTGACTTGATTCACGGCAATTCAACAACTCTGGCATTGGCATTCTACCACCACGCACTACTGCATGTTTGACTGATTTCAATCACTTTCAATCACATTTCAGTCGCTAACCAAAGCCATGCCTCTCAATTGCCATAAATATCATGCGCTGTGCACTGTCTCTTCAGATGCACCAAGTCCTACATATGTTATCTTACATTAATTTGTACTGATTATGTAGTGTTCATGAGACACACACAAGACACAATTATCTGTATCTACAGTATTCAAATTTTCGTTATGTGCACCTTAGTCCAACATTGTCAAAATGACAGTTTAAAGTCCAATTCCTGGCAAAACTTCCTTTTTAAAGAAAAATCTGATTTTTATATATGTTAGAAAGATTTATATATACTGTATAATACGAAATTGCTAGGTTAACTGAATTTAGACATTCCTAAACATGAAAAAAGGGCAAAATAAGACTCAAATTAGATTTTTTGTGTTCCACATAAAAAATAAACGCAGAAAAATTTTTTATGTTTGGAATTTGTGATAGGTCTATCGAAATATAGTAGGTGCCAGAAACAATAGCCTAGCAACGCTGCTATGCTAGCGTAGCCTTACCTCGATTTAGGTTCTGTTATCAGACATGAAAATGGCCGACATGATATTTTCCGGTGCCGGTAAAATTTTATTGGAATTATTTCTTCAAAAATGATTCTGACCGAGATTTAGAAAATTAAACAAACTTATCTCAGCCCAACTGCATGCTTTTTCATGGTTTATAGTAATTAGAGTAAAAATTCTGTACGTAAATGTAATGTTCGCATGTGGAGATTAGCATCCGACAGCGTGTGTTGAATTGCCTTGATTTGACTGACAGTGGAACCTATGGAGCTCACTTAGCAGTGAGCCCCCAGGTAGTAGAACTGCAACTTGGTGGATATGGTGCCAACCTTCTAATCCCGAGAGGTATAGGTAGAAGTAGGAGATAATTTGCAGTGTCATGGTGCTGAATTGCTTATGGGCCTGGTTCGTGACTACAAAGCAGAAGCAAAGAGGTGCTTTTAGCAAAGATACTAGAAACGCAAGATAGAGCACTTGCATAGCAAAAATGAGGCGGAAATTGGTCTAGACGTACACGGCGTCCTTCTCTTTTTATAATGCAAGTTTTCTATACTTGGTGTGGACGTATAGGGCGCCCTTCTGTTGCTAGGTATATCCAGACGCACATGGCGCCCTTCTTTTTCCACTAATGGAGGAAAACTTTATCACTAATCAGTGTCCGGTCATACGATTCTGCGCTTTTGTGTCTGTCATTTTACTATTTTGATTTATTTATGCCTACTTGTTTGTATTTAATGGATAATGGCAACGATTTCAACCTCTGCAAAAGGAGGTTATGTATTCAGTTATGTAACGGTGGCAGAAGCTTTTTTAAACCCAGCCTTACGCGGCGCCCCATTGTTTGTATTTCCACCATGCATTTCGGTGGAACAGTTTTTTTCTGTGGAGAACTCTATCTTGTGTTTCTAGTATTTTTGCTTTTGGTGCTTCATGTTCATTCATTCCACAAATCCTTCACATATCAGAATGTTTTCATCCACATACAAAAATTACTACTACAGTAATAGCTTTGATCCCCAAGCACCATACTGCCAGCTTCGCAATACATTAATATACACAGCTATATATATATATATAGATGGTGCATTGTTTATGTGATACTATTTTGCATTTTGCATAGCACACTCATTTTGGGTTTGTGCACTCTTGTATTCATAATCAGTGTACCACGTCACACAAGACTGACCCAAACTATGTTTGAGTTAGTGGTGTGTTTCATTCTTAAAATCCTGAGCTGCACTGATGAGATCTAACAAGATCGAAACGGTACTGTCTGCAGATTGGAATATATATATATATATATATATATTTATCTATGTTCGGTAAGAGATGTACTGTATTTACTTGTCAGTGGATATTAATGTAAATTAACCTTTATCCCATGCGTCGTTTATCACCGGAACAAAAAAAAAATGAGCCGTCATTCCTCATTTACTGGCGTGAAAAGTATTTAACTTTATTTAATCACTTGGATTTCCTCTCTCTACAAATTACAGCATTCTCTTCCTTGTTGCTAAGTACCAGGATGTAAATAAATTAATTAAAGTGACTTTTGTATCAGCACACATCATAGGTATGATACTCAACTACATCCGGTTGTCTTGCCGACGACTATGATGGTTATCTAACAGCGTGCCGCTCGGGGCGAAGAATCATTTTCTATTTCCAGAAATTCTGGCAAATCACTGACTATGCCTACTTGCACCAAGATAGAAGTAAGAAAAAACATTTCATGTGTAAGATCATTGTTGTCAATGATCAATTACTGTAAAACCTCGAATTGGAGCCCTAGTTTCTTTTTTTTGCAAACTTTAGATGGGCTTCATTTAAAGATGAGCTTCTTTTCGAGGCTACTTTTGCAAAGTAAAGAGGGGGCAGTGGCGGGTTCAGGGGGTTGTGGCGGGTTCAGGGGGTTAGGACGAACTTCCCTCTGGGAAGAAGCGTAAACATTTTTTTTCTGAAATAGGCCTACTTACTGTAATAAGAATGAGATAAAATTACCTGACCGCTCTCAAGAGAGGGGAAACCTTTAATTTTGAAGAACTTAGAAGTTATTAAGACACCTCAGAAGTCAGGAAAGCTCATTTCCGGCCATCTAAGAATCAAGATTTTTACGGGGGAGGACCCCCCAGACCCCGTTTCTTTTAGGGTTTTTTTTTGGAAACATTTTGAATCCCCTCCTTCAAATCCTGGATCTGTCCCTGGGGGGCACTTTTCAAAATGAGTGCTGTAAATTTTGTGAATTTGTAACATCAATCTGTATCATGGAGTGTATTTAGCTGACATTAAATCACCTAAACTAATGTATAACCCACGGTTATTTTCAATTTATTTTATTTTATTTTTTTAATTCATGTTATAGTGTACATACTGTATTATCTCGAAACGAAGCCTATGCTATCTAGCCCATGGGCTTCTTTTTGAGGCTAAGTTTGCAAACTAAAGAGGGGGCTTCAATTCGACATGGACTTCATCTCAAGATTAAGCCCACTGGGCTTGAATTCAAGGTTTTACGGTATTGCATGATAGAATGTTAGGGCCATTGTTGCATAATGCTGACACTTTCAAACTTTGTGTGAATCTCCCTTATCTAGTATGTTGACTATAAAAACTTTTTTTCTACCAAGTAAATGAAGCAGAATCAGTTGCATTTACCGTACATTGATATTGCTTTTCATTTTTTTGTGTATTACTATTAGGCCTATCTAAATGCAAAACTTTTTTAATTACCATTATTTCCGTCAGACTACGTCATAACGCTATCACTATATTTGCCACTTAACAACAGGCAAGTAAATAATTCTTCCAAGTTCCACCTTCGTGTGTGGTATGTTATCATCTTATTGACATAACTAGTTGAATATACTGTACACATATTTTTAAAAACAATATTAGTTTAGCTTTCATCCAATGGCAAAAAACCCCCAGTTTATGTAGTTGGAGTAGAGTTGAGTAGCTTAGTTAGTAGCTTATGCTTGGCTTCTAAACCCAGGATCCTTGTTTCTATTTCTGTTACAGCAGGACTTTTTCTCACAACCAAAAACAACTCCTCTCCTCTTCCTAGGCCTCAATAAGAGGCTTGGTTTATCATCATTCCATCCTGTAAATGGCGAGTGTACTGTACTTGTTGGATGTGAAGAAATAACATTTTTCAACATTTTACCAGGGCTTCCTTTACCTAGGGGCATTAAAAATGACGTTTCACAAATATATTACACTAATTACAAACACTGCCTTTCTGGACGCTATTGAAGCAAGCACACTAACCTGCGAGTGGGCACTAGCATAACAATACATTTTTGCAATAAAAAGATTTATTAAATTCAATCTTTGTCAAACACAGTAAAATACACAGATTGATATTCTGGTTGTTTGTTCACAGATAAAATAAAAATATTCTTATTGATACAATCACACACTAAAACACACAACACATACATCACATCATATAATGTTATTATATAAAGGTAAATGTTAAAATTTTAAAAGCTAAAATGGTAAAAATTTTGCTAAAATAGAGGTCTCAAGCTAGATGGCATAAAAGCAATGTTTATTAATATCCAAACGATATACAGTACTGAACAGGCATCAGTTTATTGGTAAACTTTAGTACTTATTGTGTTATGTTAAATTGGCTAATTTATTTATTGCTGTTGTCATTATTTGTTAAAAAATTTCATCTCTAATGCCAATTTAGGTCCATACATTATGATATTGTGTTTTTATTTCAGAAATTACAAAAAGCCAATCATAAGATTGCAACATTTTAATTTGGCCAATCAGAAAATTGCAACTTTCAAAGAGTTTATTTAGGTGATTGCAAAATTCAATATCAGCCAATAAGGAGATCCACAATATTCAAGATAAGCCAATCAGAAAGATTGCAACGTATCAGGATTGCCAATCAAAAATATAAATAGTTTGTACTGTATGAACTTGCCTGAACTGTATGTTACTTAATGTTAATCCATTTTGTAACAATGAGAGAGAGAACTCAGAATTACTGTGGCTGTACAAATCTATCGTAATCATATTCAGCAGCCTAATCAAATTAATTATTTTCCTTAATTTCATTAACAAGCTTTGTGTTTACCCTTACGTATAGGAAACAAACTTGTTTTTCTGTCTCAGCCTCAATTAATAATCAGTTTCAATCTCATTCAATATACTTTCACCATTTCATAGAATGAAAGTACATTATCTTGAACTTTAATCAAAAGTGCTTACTAGAAAAACCTCAAAAATAAAAAAAAAAACACCTCCAAATTTAAAACTAATTATAAAGAATCACATATAACATCCAATGATGATGAAATTATGTTTCATGAGAGATGAACAATAATATAGTTTATGATTTGCTAGGGGCATAGTTGCCGCCGGAATACTGCAACATCCCCAATCAATATCCCCATCAAATTATTCTAATCCCAGCCTCCTGGCTAACCCATACCAAAGTAAGCATCACTCCTACTTCAGAACCCAATAGCATGTGCATTCCATTGCATGTGCCTTTCATATCCCTTCCCATATCCACCTCTCCTACACCCAAAAAATTACACAGAAATGTAATAGGGCTTTTCTTCTTAAATAAATTTGAGGGTTAATATTTTTATTCTCTCCTACATACAAATCCAGCTGCTGCTCGTAGAAACACCAGGTTCAATATACTGAAAAGACAACAGAAATGGTTTTAATCAGAAATACGAGGGACTTGTTTACGAAGATTACCAATTGTAGTTGTTTACAGTTACACACTGTGTTTTCATGTTTTCATCCACTATACCACCTGCCATTCAATACCCAATTAAATACACTATGACACATCACCCCCTCATCTCATACGATATTGTTGATTTTGGCAAATGAACTGAAGCCGAGCGCTACAATTGATCTAACTCCTACTGACAAATCAATGCAGAAGGATCTCTCTGTAACCGGAAATTTTTGTGGAAAATTTATCAGGCAGTAACCTGCAGACTTTGGGCAATGTACAAGATTGCTCACAGCGTTGCCAAAGTGGAAAATAACTTGAACGCTAATTATCAGTTGTGCTAAGTAAATATTATTGTACATGAGATTCTTGCATGATTTCAACTGAAAACAACATTAGAACATTATGAGAAAATGGTCTTGCAATGTTAAAAAAAAAAAAGGTTACTAATGGAATTAGTAATTAGTTGGGAAATTGACAGCTAGTATGTTTCAACATGTACTCAACTAATGTAAATTTACTTTCACTGTACATTTATTAAAAGATTTTAGGAGTAGAGAAAAATATGTTACTAAGAAATTGTTTTTCTCACTTGTTATATTCTAGCTAAATCACATTTCACCAACATGAGAATATTGTAAAAAAATAGCTCAAATATAGGTTGTAATGTTATAGCCTGTTTACTGGAATGAGTAATAGTTGGAAAATTACAATGGCTGCATAGCATGTGTCAATATTTACTCAAATTATGTAAACTTACATTCAGTTGTATTTATGTTCAAAGGGTATAAAGAACAGTGCTTTTCTCACTTGCATTCAAGAGAAGCGGAAAGGCCTGGGCACCCCTAAATTTTTAAAAATAAAAAAATTAATGTGGGAAGCGGAAAATTACATTTAATTTTCTAAGTACAACAAAAATGCTATTTCCAGCCATCTAAAAGTACCATCAACATAAAATGTTGCACCTCAGCCCCAACCATGATCTTGACCCTTGTCTGCAAAATTAAATTTCAAATTTCTGGAGCCATGACTGTTATATTGTTCTATCTCAATGTTCATTAAATTATCATTAATTATTTTATAGTAATACTTACACTATAGATGTTTGGCAGTAGTGGGGGGTAGTTTTAGTAAAACATAGTTAATTACTGTTAGTATTAATTATTATCTAAATGATTACATATTAACAGAGTTGTTATTATCACTGTATGTGGCATTGCAAATAAACATTAAATTGTATCCTATTGAATCTCAGTTTATTATTAAATATTAAATGAAGATATGTTTGCTAATTTCCAATTAAAATCTAATACAGTTATAATAATGCTATGTCACTGGAGCAATAACTAGGCAGGACAAGTGCATTATTTGTATTTTCACTTTCAAAATGGCGTCACCACGCTTGAGAAAAAAAGTATCAATATGCAAGAATTGCTGACGCATTGTGTATACTAAAAAAATTTCATCATCCATAATATTTCAAATGATATGCCAATTATAATATTAACTTATACTTCATTTGAAATATGAATTTACATTAAGGTTTATTCATATTCAAAGGAAGGAACAGAGTTTTTCTCACTTTCAAGGCATAATAAGAATGCCATTGTCAGCCACCTAAAAGTGCCATAGACATACAATTTTGTATCTCAGTTCAGTCATTCTGTGGCTGAGATGCTCTGGATCCTCTATCTGCAAAATTAACTTTCTGAGTCCCTCCTATTTCAAATTTTTGGATCCGTAAATGACTCGTTAAATTATTCTACTAAATTCTCATTAAATTATCATTAAATATTTTATAGTAATACCTACACTCTCTGGCAGTGATGGGGATAATTTTAGTCAAACATTGTTAATTACTGTTAGTAGTAAATATTGTCTGAAGGATTTCATACTAAAGGGGTCGTTCACAATTATCAAAATTTTCACAAGTGTGCAAGCATTACGCTAAGGGTAGACACATTTGTATACTTTTAATGCATGATTCAAAATACTATCCAATATTTAAAATAATAGATTTTTACGACCAATTATGATGAAACCATGGCTACAATAAAAGTTTCTAAATAACCCAAGTACAGTATTTCAGTTGACTTCACAAAAAAATGGAGAATGGTTTTGCAAAATCAACATTTTTTATGTACACATTCAGAGGGGAGGGAGGGGGTACCGAAAAGAGTACTGTTTGTACACTTGCGAAAAATGTTGATAATTGTGAACGACCTGTAAACAGAGTGCTTTTTAGTTTCTTACATTTACTAAAGTTGTTGTTATCACTGTAAAAATAAATGTGGCCATGCGCAAATAAACATTAAACTGTATCCTATTGGATTTCAGTCTTTTATTAAATTAAATGAAGACATTTTTGCTCATTTGCAACTAAAATCTAATTATAGTTATAATAATGTCATTGGAGCAATAACTAGGCATGACAAGTGCATGATTTGTATTTTCACTTTGAAAATGGCATCACCACACTCATGAAAAAGCACCAATATGCAAGAATTGCTGACGCATTGTGTATAAAAATTTCATCATCCATTATATTTCAAATGATATATCAATTATAATAATTTGTATTTCATTTGAAATATAATGAAATACAAATTGTGATTGGTATCTCATTTGAAACACAATGGATGAAATGAAATACCAGCTACAATAATTTGGAAATCATACATTTGTATTTCAGAGAAGCCATTCTGGAGGTAAATTAAAACATGAATAAAAATGAATTTTTAGAACTAAATGCATTTACTAGTATGCTTATAATGTATTTCTGCAACTAGTTGAGCTAAGAAAGCAAAAGCAAATGCTAGCAATTGACTAATAATTTTAATTACCAGGGATGCAGCCAAAGCAGTTCTTTCAGTTTTCATATCAACCACTCTTGAATGAACCATTGCTGCATCAGCTTTCGGCATCAGATCCAACCTTACCCATGTCAAAAGCTATATCCAGACTACCAAATTTTCTTTGACAAAAAACTGTTGTATGTCCATATATAGCCATGATATGCCCATATATGGTCATGATGTGATGTCATCATGACCATACTAAGGCATGTTGCATGTTTTTGTCAAATAAAATTTGATAGTCTGGAAAGCGGCTTACACAGACAACTAAATGATGTCACAAATTACTGAAGACAACCATCCTGCTTTACAAAAGCTCTGTAGCTACCTGTAAACACAATATAATATAAAACAATCAGTATTCGTATTTCCGTGAAGAAAGCCAAATCTATAAAAAATTACATTTAATTCCTGTTTTCCATTAAAAGTTATCCTCTAATCAAAGTTTTACGAGATTCAAATACATTTATGTAATATTATCTATATCGGAGAAAACTTCAATTATTCTATCATCATTAATGAGATCATCCGAGAACAATACTTCAGTCATAAAAATCAAAATCCAGGACTGCATTCTAAATATAGAGCATAGTCGAAATTAGAAACATAATACAATAACTTAAGATTTAATTACATTCATATGTTAATGGATGGTCTGATTATGCTAGGCTGGCATATGGATATATTGAAAAGGCTTAATTACCATCCGTATTGACCGCCCACGCAAACTTCTCTCAAATAATAAATCGCTGCATTCACTAAAATAACAACCAGTAAAATGTTCTTAGGCTAGAATATGAAGCATTACACAACCATGAAAGGAATACGTAATATGGTACTTGCATTAGAATAGTGGGAGTGGAGTTGAAGCTGAGTCAGATGCTTGCACTTCAATCTCAGGGGGCTAGGTTCAAATCCTTTCAAAAACCAGTGCCAATTGCTATAGACAGTCTTAACGCTCAGTTGGTTAAATTGTGACATAGATACTGGTCAATAAATGTTAGACCATTGCTATACAGCGGTCTAATCAGTTAACTGGCTGTATTTTTCAGCCTGCTGGAAGGAGGTAGAACAGTGTTTTGCTACTGAATAATTTATCCAATATTAAATATGAAAAATATGAAGATATAATAAAATAAAAATGCAAAAGAAAAAAAATATAGCTAATAAAAAAAATAAACATGGGGTATAAGTGTCTTGCAATATAGTTATCCATCAGGCAGTGTGAAATAGTTTCTCATTCTACTTTTCAACTGAAAGCTTAATAAAGCTTGGTTCATATTACACCCAAATATGGGCATCACATTTATTTGTCCCATAAAAAATTATAGCGTGGAAAGAGCTCAAATAATTCAAATATGATTTTTTTTAAATATTTTACCTTAAGACTGAACAGTAGGCCTGTAAGTAAGAATACTTTATTTTAATATGAAAAATGATAATATTTACTATTGCCACCTTTTTGAAAAGAAATGATAACATATTCATAAAATACTGACATGAAGTAAGGTATTTATGATATATGATGGTGTGTGGCCAAAAAGCATGTAAACAGAATCATGAAAAAAAATGATGCCATATGTATCGTTCTCCAACCAAAATTCATTAAAAGAAATGATCCACTTAAGGGATGATAAATTCAAGAGACAACATCATTTAAGATGGCCTTTAATCTCATTGCTACTCGTCAGGTAGATTAATAACTTCCTCTTCTATGATTGGTTGCCAGCCGAATGCATTAGACAGAATCAACTACAGTACAGCATCCAAGGTTCAGCAAGGTGGTTGAACTAAATTTTCGATTTATTCAAGGGCGCGTCACTATTAGCGGCTTACGGTAGCAGCACCGTGGGAGTAATTGCCCACCGAAGTAATTTCCTTTTCCACTCTCAAAATCATCCAAGAAAGTGGCAACAGTATGAAAAGAAAATCACTGACCAGTACCATCAGACAGAAATCTAAATTAATGGCCTTTTAGACTACACGTTTCTTAAGTACAGATTTCTGTTTCAGTGCAAAGATGTGTGAGTTGCTGAATGGGTTGGTGGGTGTACAAAAAAATATTTTTGAAACATTTTATCATTAACTTTTATTGAAAATGACACAAATCAATCAATATCATTTCCATGGTTCAGTGCATACTACCAATTTAGACAACTAAGGTATGCTGCCCTCTATATAGTTACAGTAAATAAGTCTTGGGCCTATCCTAACTGTCAGACATGATCACTTCTTTCAGAGCATAGGTAGGACTACCACAGTTCCTCGGGTATTAGCCCACCACAGGATATGATCTCACCTACATTTTTTTTTACGACCAATGTTACGTACCACCTATTCCTTGGGCTCAGGGTATAATTTGAATGAGTGGATTTGCAGACTTTTAAAAATATTCTAAAAAACTGTAAAATATATATAATAAAAGGGGATTCTCAAGTATAAGCCCACCCTAAAAAAAACAGCACAATTTTGTGACCTGAGGAACAATGGTATGATAATTTTTATTTAAAAATTTGAGGGAAAAAAGAAATTATATTCAAATTTTAAGTCTTAGAGTGTCATTTCCACCCATCTAGGTGCCATAAACGTAAATTTTCTTACCTCAGCCCCAACTATGGTGGGCTGAGGTGGTATAGACCCTACATCTGTCAAAGTCTATCCTTGGGCCCCTCTATTTGAAATTACTAGATCCGTCACCAGGAGTGGTAGCAAAGGGGCTGTGATAGGACCCCCAGGGTTTCTACATATTAGTGATCTATCAAGTTCCATTTATACTAATTACACCAGCACATGCTTGGCTTCAAACAACTCAATATTGTTGTACTTATTCACATGAAATTCAGCCCCGGGCCATAACATAATTATGCAGGTTATGTCATGTTGTGTAAATTCCCATGAGATAATGTGTAAAGCATATATGCTATGGCTTTTTGATTAAACTTCATTAAAACACCAATAAAAATGTACCGTAATATAACACAAATAATTCAAATAAACCCCATTCAGTTTATACCTCTCTATATTATATTTTTGAAAAAAATAATGTAATGTATAAACAAACATCAGCATTGCGTCACTTGAATTCTGTAGGGCGAGTGACTTTGTAATAATAAAAGCTGCTTATCAACCCTGACATAGATTGCGCCACCACTAATCAATTACAGAAACGTTTCAACACTCAGACACTGATAATAAAAAATAGGTGCAGTGTTGCCTAACACTTAACCTTCAGAACTTAACCTTCTTTACGTATGAAATTATCTTGTTGAAGGTCTATAAAATGCTTATGATCAACAATGTAACAATGGGAACAAAAAATTGTTTCCTTTTGGAAATATCAACAGCTATAGTACAGAATCCAAACATCATTATGCAATAAAGGGAAAAAGGGTAGAAAGAAGAAAAGCAGCTGGAATAATTAGTAGAAGGGAAGAAGATTAAGAAGGGAAGATTTATTAATCCATGAAAATTTAATTTGGACTGGACGAATAGCAAATAAAATTTTTAAATACATAGAAAAGAGTAGGGGATTGTCTCCTGGTTTACTGCACCGGAATTTACTACCATGAGGGAAAATAAATCTTGGGACTTTTGTGGGTTATCCTTGGTATGGTGCGTATCACACCTAAGAAATCCACTCCAGGAAGATGAAGTAGGTTCACTGGCAATGAAACCTTTATTTTTCATCAAGAAACAGACTGAAAAAATGAGAAACAGATTGCAAAAAAATGTAGAATCAACAGTAAGGCCTACAACCAGACTGTTTTTACTCCCAGTTCCACAGGAACTGATCCAGACAACTAATCCATAAACTAAGAATAGAAAATAAAATTATTCTAAATTTTACGATACGATAGAATTTTATTGTCACAACGGTATAAATACAGCTACTGTATGAGATATTTTGACAATATATAGGGGTTTTCCCCCATCTTTACACGCTGGATACAAAATAAACATTATTGTAAAGCACAAATGATTGATATACAAGTTTCGGTTTCGATTGGATATTATCAAAATCGTAAATGAGTCGGAATAATGAAAAGTTCTAAAATTATTAAAACAAAATATTAGACATAGAAGAGCAGAGAGGCCTAGGCCCAATATCCCCCAACAAAATAATTACTAAACGAGTAATTTTGTCGCTCCACATACATGTTTGTTTACGCTCTTCTAGGCCTAGGACATGAGCAAATACGAGCCAGTTTCGCAATGGTTTAACATGAAGGTCACATTTCACCTGCTTTTTGTGTTGCTGCTAAATAAATGAACAGCCAAAATTGGTTATTTGCTGTTCAAACATGTTATTCAGTGCGTGTTTTTAATAATTTTTTTCAAACTTGTCCCATTTCTACTGCGAGAAAAAAAAAAAACGATTTTTTGAAAAGGCAATTTTTAATGGATTTCTTCTTCCCAGTAGAAACAGGCACTAAAAGGCCTTTCTTTGGCAGTTTCAGGGGCACATTCAGCCTGGTAAGAAAGATAAGCTTTACTGAAATTATTTACAAAAAATAGGTGGGGGGAGGTTCCGTAGGCCCCCTCCCCTCTAAATCCGCCACTGCATCCTTAAGTTCCATTTACTCTAGACAAGATAACAACAAGAAAAAAATGGGCTTGACGCTATGATGGTGTCGTCGTGTCGTTATCGTTTCTACAGTAGTGTAAATGTTGCTTACTTATCAAAAATTCTTCATGAGAGACCTGTAATAGAGCTATCATTTGAAATCCACAATTAATGCTCTGTTGTGAGAAGAATCAAGCTCCCTCTGGAACTGGGCGAAGAGAATGAACATGGATCAATAATAATCATAGCTGCATGGTATTAACTAGCAAGCCACATTGCCACTCCCAGGCATCAAATTATATTGTTCTAAGTTCTTTCCACTCCCCAGCCGCCACTTCTATTGTTCGGAGGTCTTTCCACTCTCAGTTCCCAATCTGTAGGCCTATTGTCTGGAGGTGTTTTGACTCCCATGTCTCCTTTTCTATTGTTGAGATGTCTTTCTTAGTCTTCATTAAAAACCACTTTAATTATTAACACAGGCATTAACACTACTACCTAATTAGATAACATGCTAATAATTTTGCCCTCTGTAAGTATAGTTTGCAGTGGCAGTGCTACAGAGGAGGGGAAAGTTTCTTTTCCCACCACCAAGTTCTCCCCCCCCCCCCAAACAGAAGAAAAACCACAATTCATCAGGGAGAGAAAGTGTACTTTCTACATATAAGTACACTATCTATATATAAAATCGATTAAATAAGCTTCTATAACTGCTAAATTATCATATTTGTTCGGGGCACAGCCCCCTGGACCATTTCGGAACATTT